TCATGGTCAACTTGTCGTCCACCATGACACCCAGGTCTTTCTCCGCGGAGCTGCTCTCCAGAAGGTCAGTCCCCAGCCTGGACTGGTGTCTGAGGTTATTCTTTCCCAGGTGCAGGACCTTGCACTTGGCCTTGTTGAATTGCATGAGGTTTTTCACTGCCCAGTTGTCCAGTCTGTCCAGGTCCCTCTGGATGGCAGCGCAGCCCTCTGGGGTATCAGCTACTCCTTCCCAGTTTGGTATCATCAGCAAACTTGCTGAGGGAGCACTCTGTGCCTTCATCCAGGTCATTGATGAACAAATTGAACAGGACTGGACCAAGGACTGACCCCTGGGGGACCCCACTAGCTACAGGCCTGCAACTAGACTCTGCACCACTGATCACCACCCTCTGAGCTCTGCCATCCAGCCAGTGAGACCTGAGGGTTTATAGCAATGACTGATGGCTAATGTTAGATATTCCTTCACTAACAAATAAGCAGTAATAGCATCCGCGAAAGGCCCACATCACCGAAAAAAAAGCCGTGTTATGTAGTGGAGTGGGAAAAAGGGAATGGACATAAACATGAAAAAAGGGGAAAGCATAAAAGAAAACTGAGTTTTTTTCAAGCTATTCCCTGACCATCATTAATAATGTATTTCCCAAATATTGTGCTCTATATAAACTGCCATCAATTTCTCCCATGGTTCTCAGGAAGTGGTTCCAGAAATCAATACTCATTCCAGTTGTAAAAATTGGTTTTCTACAGTATCTTTCTTTTCTTTGTGCAGTCTCGCTCTTGGCACAAACGCCCCAATATCTAAACTAGCAAGGCTCTCCAGGTCTAGGGGATGGCACAGGAGTCAGCGGGAGAGTATCCTTAGGGAAAATCAGAAATCCTACCTTAGGGGGAAGCACTCTCTTGTAGAGTGGCAGCAACCCCTGCTGACACCCCTGCCTTGCCCACCCACGTCCCTACTGGTAACGTGTGAGGAAAAAGAGCTACCCCAATGAGCCAAGTGAGAAGGGAGCTCTAAAGCAGACTGCTCTTGGCTGCCTACACCCGCCTGCAGCTATGTGACTAAAATAATAAAGAGCAGAAGAACCATATGCTAATGATGAGCCAATTAAAGAGGGCGAGAGGCTCCTCTGAAGGCAGGCGTTGGCCGTGCTTCCGAAACAAGTGGGCACACTGAGTCTGAGGAGCGTGGCAGGACACACGGGAGCGCGTGCTCCCCACGAGCAGAGCCCCGCGCTGCGCCGCCCTGCGCGAGGACGAGCCGGCGCGGCCCCTTACCTCGGTGGTGGAAAGCACGGTGTCCTCATCCAGGCTTAGCACCGCGTCTGTAACTATGTTGTCGTAGGGTAGGAAGCGACTGCTCATCACCTGTGGGAATCCAAGGCAGGAAGAGAGAGGAAAAATCACTTGAAAGGCTTGTTTTCAAGGGAAATACTCTTTTGTTGCTCATTCTCATTTCCTTTCGTCTGAGGTGCAGTGACCGTCTCTATCTGAAGGAAATGATCCCTCAGCTCAGGAGTGAGGAAAGGTCATATTCAACACCCCAGAAGTCAACTTATATCCTGTACCTGAGGGATTGATTTCTGAGAGAGCCCTCGCTTTGGAGCGTGCTTCCTTCCTTACATGACAAACCATAACTGTGTGCACCGATACCCAGATGTACCCACAGTTTGTTTAGGGAGGATTTTCTCAGGTAGCTCAGATTGTCCCCTGGCCTCCTCCGGGGTATGAGGATCAAGAATAATGAAGTGCAGGGAGGGACTTTGTAGCCTCCATAAGGTTACACAGCTGGGAAGCTGATGAGCCCAGGATGTGTGTGCAGGGTTCTGTCTATTGATGGATGTTGCTAATGCAAAAAGCTACAACTTGGCTCTGTGCACGGCTGCGCTATCGACAGAGCTGCTGTCAAACAGAGCAGCTTCTCCCACCAGAAAAGGAGAATAAGCTGAAGAACATGAGGGAGCTGTATCAGGAATTATGTCGGTGTTGCTGCGTCATTTTTGAAGTCACATTCTTAAGTGACATCATTATATGCATATGCAATCTACATGCACAACAGGCTTTTAAAAATTATGCCATGATAATTCTCAAAGCAGTAAGAAATACATAAGAGAAAGCAATCAAAGAGGTAAAAACAAGCAATGAGAATCCATATGGTTTCTCTATCAGACTAACTTGCACCTTTGGAGGACTGATGAATAGAAATAAGGACACAACACTGTTTTTTCCTTTCTCACTAGCTAGGAAAATAGCCCGAGTAGTTAATAGACTTTTTGCTTGTGTATACACAATAGGTAGGCTACCTATGTTTATCTTTTGACAGAAAGCTGTAGAATCACAGAATGGTTAAGGTTGGAAGGGACCTCTAGAGATCATCTAGTCCAACACCCCTGCGCAGGAAGAGACACCTAGAGCACATGGCATAGGGTGGCATCCAGGCCACCACAGGATGGTTTGGAAGATCTCCAGAGAAGGAGACTTAGAAGGTGTCACTATTATTCTCTGAAGACATTTGTTCACTTTATTATGCCAAAAAAACACTAAAAAATCAGGCCACATAAGAGGAAACCACTGTGGAGACAGGGAGAAGGGATCTATGCCCAGAGAAAGCTTTGTCTTCCACACCCATTTGGTTCAGTGTGTCCTTCCAGAGAGCATCCCTTCATTCCTGTGAGAGAAAGGCCCTGGATGGGAGAAAAATTGACCTGGCAAGAGTTGAAGGTTGAGCTTTGCTTAGGCAAAGCAGAGGAGGTGACTCTCAGGACTGGGGCTCCCATCCTAGCTCTTTACAGACTGTAAAATACAATTACCCATGGCTTTGTTTTTGTTATTAAAGATCCCTGTTGTAAAATGGGTGTGATAACATATCTTGATTTCATGGGGAAACAGTGAAGATTAGGCAAAGAGAGACCTCTGCAATCCCTTGGACAGAATAACTGTTTGCCAGTATGCTTTGGCCAATCTTGAGTATGAAAAGCATCTCTTTTGTACAACCTTTGCATTGTGCTGCTCTGGCTCTGCAAGCCTTGTCCAAACAAACGGCCTTTCTGCACAGGAAGCCATTTGGCATATGCTGGGATATTACAGAGAAGAAACTGTCCACTATAAACACACCTTTGTGTACTCAGGAGAGTCATTTGTAATCTAAATAGCACCTGGGCCAATTTCTACATACCCTGTCAAACTGGTCAAAGACTTTCTCCTCTATGTCACCTCTGCAAGCTTTCCAAAAAGACAGAAAAAAAAATCCCTAATGTCCCAAAAGCTCAGAAATTACTGGAGTCTTTCTCAACCACAGCTCTCCTAATACTGTTTACATGGCTAACTAAGGCAAGAGTCATTAGCTGCCAACTTAGCAGGGCCCTGGCTCTTCCTTTGTTAAGTCAGCTGGGGAAAAATGGCAAAGACAGGACTGTAAATTCCAAATAGGATTGTACAGCCCAGCAGCTAGAAAAGAGAGAGAAAGAAAGAGAGGAAGAGAGAAAGAGAGAGAGAAAGAAAGAGAGAGAAAAGAGAGAAAGAAAGAAAATCTTGCATCTGGCAGCTCAGACTGAATGAATTCAATTGCAGATAGACCGAAATCTCCCAAGATGGGTCAGTATTACCTGTTCTTGGGGGCACCCTTCAAAATTGAGTCCCACCTGTGAATCTCAGACTCACAGCATTAACTGCCACGCTGATGATCACTGAGCGCACAAACCTCATGCATCGAACACAAATCCATGATCAAGCTGATACAAAGGGCCACATAAAAAAAAGCGAAGTTGGAAAATAAATTCTGGTCCCACTGGAGAATATATGTAATCTTTTATGATGCTCCTCTCCACCTACCTTGCTCTCTCCTTCAATGACTATGACAGGCACAGAAGTGGCAGGCCAGCGGTGTTTGGCTGGGAGGGGTTTATCACAATTCCATAACACAATAATCTGGAAAAGAACATTGGACCATGATTAGAGACCTTCGTGGCAAAGCAGTGCAAACCCTAAGGACTCAATCTCCAGGCAGAAATGTCAGATTCAAGTTGGGAATTTCAAAATCAACAGCATGATACAATCTGTATAAAAATAACACTTGTGACGGTAATTTCACCCATCCTGGCTGTATACAATATACATCCTCTAAATTGAACGTAGGTTGAACAGCAACTCAGGAAGTCTCTAGCCCAGGTCACAAGGATGTCACTGATTTACTTTGGCACTCACTAAAGGTTAAAGCACTTGTGACTCTCTGCTGCAAGAGGGTGCTCCTACTGAACTCCCTGGTGTTTGTTTGAGGGAAGCCAAAATCCTGGCACTGCTCAGACTAAGGACAGGAGGAGGAAGGAAGGTCACGTACAGGCCCTCGAGGCACAGACACTCCCTGTCTGCAGCACATACAATCCCGATCCTTAAATGCAGCTGCTGTTCTACCTGTCTCATGAAACAAATCCAAGGGGTTTAGTTACTGTCTCTGCTGCACTCACACTGTACTCAGAATCTCTTACTTTCCATACACACACACACCACAAGCAGTAGACATCTCAGAGAAAAGAGACATCGGGAAGGAAACAGGGGTGGAAAATAGACTGGGAAGGCTTGAAGTCCATAGTTTCTTCGCTTTGGGGTAGTACTTTTGTCTCCAGGGTTACTGACATATAATAAATAGTGTTGCTTACCTGTGCACAGTACTGGGACTTGGCTACAGCAACCAGGAGTTTCAGCACAGGCTGAGATTGGGAAACCAGGGGAGTTACTGCATGGATTACGGCAGTGAATGTGGGAAGAGGCTTCAAACCTGAAGCAAAGAAACACTAGTTCAGTAAAGAAAAAATTGCCACATATAAGTAGAGATTAAAGGACTCTGAGATAGAAAAATAATCTATACTTAATGAAAACTACTTTGTTTAGCCAAACTTCTTTCCTCACGGTGGCTCTGCCTCTCTTCCAGGCTCTAGAGATATCTTCAAAGTTTCCAGAAGTTTGTTGTGTTTCCTCAGTCTCATTGCACCCTCTGCCAGATTTTACTTCTTTTTTGATGAATCCCCATCAACATTCATCTTCAGTTACCTCCTGAGCTGGTAATTCTGCTTGCATCCTTGTCTTCTATTCTGATATTTTTGTCTCGATATGTTTTCCTTTTCTGCCTAAAATAATACTTCCCACTTCCTTATACCCTTCATAACTGCTTTCAGTCTTATCTCCATTCATCTGTGTGGGGTCACAGTCATTTTTCATCAAAATTCCCACATAAATCTTCTTCTTTAACATGGTAACTGTGATTTTTTAGCAGGCGGGCAGTACATATCCACACAAGTGGGATGGTAAAGGCTGTGCCAAAAGTGGAAGCAGTCTGGTAAGCAGGAACACTTGAGACCGCAAGGCACATTTCCTTGCAGAACGCATCATTACGTCTCTGCTTCAGGAAAAAGCCATGGACCTATGTCCTGTTCAGTCCTTCCGGCAGGAGCCATATGAAGACACACAGGATGGGGAATAAATCCACACCAACTGCCCATTCCACTAATAAGTGTCAAGAATAAATTGCCTCTTATTTTCCAAGCACAAATTAAAAGAAAAAGAAAAAGAAAACTATTCCTTTTATGTCCTCTTGGGGCACAAACAGGTCTGCAACTTGGGCACTAGTTACTGATAACTGAAAACTATGAAGAAGCACAGATATTTTTTAAACAGTCTTTGCAGGTGAGAGGCACATGCATGTTGAGGAGTTAGAGAAAATCCTGTCTACAGTGGGCAAGGAAGACTGAAAAACACAATAAACCCAAGGTTCATCATTCCTTAACCAGAAATGAATGGTAAGTCCTTTGGCCCATGCCTCAGAGATCAACAGAGTACAGCAAGGATTCACTCACCGAGATTAGCATAGTAGTAAGGAAAGTCTCCCAGATATGAGGAATACTGTGGCAGTACAAATAACCCTCCAGGATGTTTGTTCCATATTAAGCTGTTACGTGATATGTGCTTAAATATTCTGTCCTGAATAATCTGGAAAAGAAAAGAGGAAAGGATTTTTAAATAGACTGTAGTAGCCACTGATCGAAGTGGCACAGACTCCAGCTCACTGGAATCATCACCCATTTTGTAAAAA